ACCTTATGGATATCAGTGGATCATTATCTAATAGTGCTGGAAGATGAGTCCCTAAGGCTGGAAGATACTCAAAGTACAAATGGAAATGAAATGCCTCTTCATAGCAGAGGTGACCTTAATGATGTGGGTACAAAACACTATCAAGACCTGAATTTGCTGATGTGGAATAACTCAAAATGAGAAGAAACAGCAGCAAACATCCACTCATAATCAGGATGTGAAAAGTAGGAAGTCTAAACCTCCGAAAATTGAATATTTTCAGAAATAAAATTGAACACAAAGATATTTATTTCCTAGGCTGAAATAGACTGGTACTGGTCATTCTGAATAGGAAAATTATATAGTCTACTCTGCTGAGAATGATTAATTGAAGAGGAATAATATCACATTCATTCTCAAAAAGATCATTTCAATATCTATCCTGAGTTACAATGAATTTGACACACTGAACTCTAATGACTAAAGACTCCACAGGTTATGGAATGGTCACAAAGACATTAGGCATGAAAAAAGCAAAAAGTTATTCAAAGGAGACAAAAGAAAGAAAAGACAAAAAATGAATGTCAGAGAGGTTCTGAAACTTGCTGTCAAACTTTGATAAGCTAAAATTAATGGAAGAAATTAATAAGTACAAGAGCTGAACAGATTATTTTCAAGAGTATATCAAGAAGACAAAATAAATATTATAATGAAATGTGCAAAGACCTGGAGCCAGAAAACCAAGAAAGGATGAACACATTTTGCATTTCTCAAGCTGAAAGAATTTAAAAAAACAACAAAAATTCAACCTGTAAGTAGCAGCATTGAAGGATTCCATGGGCAAAATAAGAAACTACACAGTAAGCATCGAAGAAGATGAAAGAAATAACAGAGTCATGGTACTGAAAAGCATTGATCGATTTTTCCAACATTTTTATTGTTGTTGTTAAGTGTCAACTCATAGTGACCCTGTATAGGGATTTTGAGAAGTGCGTGGTGGGTTTGAGTTTCCTACCTAGTGGTTAGCAGTTCAGTATTTATCCTACAATGCCACACCAGGATTCCTTCAAACATTTTAAGTGATAGCATATGACCAAACCAATGATAATAAAGGAAGAAGTCCAAGCTTCACTAAAGATATTGTTGAAGACCAAGCTTCCAGAAATTGGTGGATTTAACTTAGTGGATCATAAAAAATTAAGATAACTTTGCAAAGAATAGGAATTCCAAAATAATTAATTTTATTCATATGGGAATGATACATAGAACATGGGTAGTTATTAGAAGAGAAGAGGGGAAACTGTGTGGTTTGAATTTTAAAAACAAACAAACAAACTGAATTTCAGATTTAGATTCTTTGACCATATTTATTCATTGTCTATGCTGAACAAGAATCTGGCATGGTGCTGTAGGATAAGCACTGACTGCTAACCTAAAGTTTTATGGTTTAAACCCACCAGCCACTCCTTGAAAACACTATACAACATCCTTACGAGAAAGAATCAATTCAACATCACTTAACAACAATAGTGCTGAGCAAATAATTTGTGAATTGAACTAAATGAAGAACACAGCATCAGAATTGGAGAAAGATTAATTAACAACCTGATGATGAAACAATCTCATTGCTGAAAAAAAAGAGGACTTGAAGAACTTACTGATAAAGACCATAAATAATAACTTTCAGTATGGATTATACCTCAATGAAAATAAAATAAAAGTCCTCACAATTGGACTAATAAACAATATCATGAGATGTTTACTAGACAGGTTATTAAGGATTTCATTTTTCTTGGATCCTCAATCAACATTTTTGAAAGCAGCAGTAAAGAAATCCAATGGCATATTACATTGGGAAAATATGCTGGTAAAGACCTCTTTGAAGTGTTTGTCACTTCAAGGACTAATTTGTGTCAAGTCTTGATACTTTCAATAGCTTCATATGCATATCAGAACTTGACAATGAATAAGGAAGTCTGAAAAATTGATGCTTTTGAATTATTGTTTTGGTGAAGAATATGAAATAGACTGTGGATTGCTAGAAACAAACAAATGTTTCTTTAAAGAAGTACAATCAGAATCTTCCTTAGAAAAAAGGATGGATAATCTTCATCTCGTGTACTTTTGAAATGTTATTAGCAGAGACGAGTCAGTAGAGGATCAGTGAAAAGCAGAAGACTGCCATTGAGATGGAATGACTGTATCTGTAGAAAGTGCCTAGTGTCACTATGTTGTTGTTATGTACCATTAAGTTGGTTCCAACCCATATCAACCCTGTACAAGGTTTCTAAGGAACAGTTCAAACCAGTTTTGCAGTCCAGCATATTAACCCATAGCACCACACCAGGACTCCAGTGTCACTATCAGTAGGAACCAATTCTAAAGCACCTAACAACAATAAGAAATACAAAGACGGAAGATCTGATTTATCAGTGAAGATAGTTGGTATCATGGAAGCCAAAAAATAAATAACATTTTTCTCACACGCACATAATGAGTATATACAATGGATCAGGCATTTTATCGGGTAATGATGATTTGGTATTAAGCATGTATCATCATTCTGTTTTTTTTTTTTTTTTTTCACTCTTCTTGACACTAACATTTAATCCTAATTTTAGAATGAAGCTTGTTACAAGAAAGAAATGATAGAAAAGACAAGATCAGAAAGAGAATAAGATTCTGGAGAGTGTGAAAAAAAATAAACATATGTGACAGCAAATATGATTTGTATTATCATTTAGTTTCCAGGATCAACAAATATATCACTCATCATTAAGCTCATGAGGCTCCAATGCCCTTAAATAGGAACCTATCTATTGACGTTTTACAGAAGGGTGGCTCAAACAAGGCAGATCAGTCAGGGTTAGTTACACTTGTATATCTCTACAAACCTCACTTATGTGCTGATCATTTTAAATGCTTAAAATTATAGGAATTATTAAACTTAAAATATTAAAATACTAGGAGCTATATCATTTCAGGGAATTGAAAATAGGTCTAAAGGATTTATTTACTTCATCATTAAGAATACAGAAGGATATTAATTAAATTAAAATTAATTGAAATAAAATACAGAAGCATATTAATCATTTATATACTATC